ATGGGATTGTTTTTCACTAAATTTATTTTATGAGATAAGAAAATACAATACATAATTAAAATACTTGATAAAATTAGAAATTCATTAATTAAGATTGACTTTTCTACGTATTATATATTTATATTTAGTAAATAGGTTACCTTTTAATGTAAGTATAGATTATTTATTATGTATAAAAAATGAGTTTCATATCAAATGAAATTGCCTAATCACACGTGTTAGTAAAACTGAGTTACATATAAATTAAATTGCATTAATATGGTTACATAATAGATTTATTCTCTTTGCAATGGATAAGGTCTAAATAGTTTGGTCATTAACAAAATCCGTTTTACTATGAATTCTTTTGAAAATGGATAAGCACGTGTTGTGTATTTTTTTCCTTGAAATTAATGATAAAATTGAATATGCACATTCTTATAATTTTATGGTAAAATTATATTTATTAACAATTTCAATAGAGTAATACTTAAGTTTGTAAAAAACAAAAGAGTCCCAATAAAATTGGAAACACTATAATTTTTAATTTTATTAAACATAAAAAATTGATATTAAATTAGACATATAAATTAAATTGTATTAATCAGTTACATAATAGATTTATTCTCTTTGAAATGGATAAACTCTAAAGAATTTGGTCATTAACAAACTCTGTTTTACTTCGAATTCAATTTGAAATGGATAAGCACGTGTTGTGTATTTTTTTCCTTAAAATTAATGACAAAATTGATTACGCACATTCTTATATTTTTATGATAGAATTAATATTTATTATCCATTTCAAAAGAATAACACTTAAGTTTTTAAAAAACAAAAGAGTCCCAATAAAATTGAAAACAATATAATTTTTTATTTTTAATTTTATTAAACATAAAAAATTTGAATAGAAATAATGAATCAAAATAACTTAGAAGATTATAGTGTGTATTTTAGTCGAATAGTCACATATTCTTTTCATTTATTCACATTTCTGTTTGAAATTAATTGACGTAATTATAAAAGAGAGGTCGGATAAACAATGTGAATAAAATAATATGATAGCAAACATGGACCAACAATAAAATATTAAATAAAACAAATAATATTTTTTAGTCAATCAACTTAATTTCTCACATCAAATATAATATTAAAATAAAGCTATTAATTCATGGAAAAGGAAAAATTACAAAGAAGATGAACATATTTGTTCAAATTATTGCGAAAACGATGATAACCACGTATCTTTATTTACTCATTCGATGATTTGGTAGATTCTAAAGCCGGGTGGTAATTAGAACGTGATACTTGCTTCTAATATAATATATGTGCGTCCATGCAAGATTAATCTGAATTTTAGGGTGGTCAAGTTGTAGTTACCAATGTTAATATCCAAATCATAATTCTAAATATAATAGATACGACCTTCCTCTAGTTCTTTGATTATATTTTGAATATAAACATTGCGCACCAAACCGACGATATGTGAGCTCTACGAATAAAAAAAATTAGTGAATAAACAAAATGATAGTGTATGTAGTTGAAATAGTAAAAAAAAAAAAATAAATAGAAAAATACATCCCAACTTCGAAAGTGTGTCTGCAATATTTTGTTGGGAGACTCGCGCTCAAACATACGAACCACGCGAAGTTTTGACGGACATCTTTTGTTTCTTTCAATGTCATTATGGTACCGGAGGGATTTTCATCGTCGAAAGCTGGTATTATTGATATTTCGAATTTTTTATATCTGTAAGTATGCCTGATTAGATGCGTGTAAGATGTTAAATTGTTAGCATTTTGAATATTTATATGGTGGTGAAACTGATTTAAAGGGAAAATGATAAAAATTATTTTTTGGTTAATTAGTTCCAAAAATATAGTTAATCACGTTAGGATTTTGTTGATGTATATACTATAAAAAATAAAGATCTTATCTAAAGTTTGAATTTTTTTTTTAAAACAGTGACGATTAATAAATATAAATCCCTTGATAATAGGATAATTTTTTTTTTTTTTTT